TTTTGGAGTGATTTTTTATGTGCTTGAAGACTATATATATTATTAAAATTTAATAGGAGTATGTAACCAGCATAGAGAAATTTTAGACAAGTTTTGGTTGAATTATATTGATGGTGACAGAATTAGTTTCTTCTCACATAGTTATCTCCATGTTCCATTCTCTCTATTCCTTCATTTATAAAATATTACTTGATTTATTTTTATTGCTTTGAATGTCCCTGTTCTTAGATTTTGTTCACACTATGTAACATAAAATAACATTTATTAGTGCTTGAAATGCAGGCTTGCAAAATCTTTTGTTCTTATTCATGAGTATGTTAATTTTAGAGTTATTTGAGAAGACACAGTTACAGCTCCATATCATTAAAACAATCATTAAAATAATGGCAATAATACCATTTAGTAAATAAAGGAAGGACCTTGGGCTTCAAATCTTGTCTGGACAGGGAAGACTACAAATCTGGATGTCATTCTTCCCTACATCAAAGGGAAACCTCACTGCTGATTTGGACTATGAAGATCTCACTCTCTATGATAAGGTTCAGATGCTAAGTTATCTAGTATAAAATTTATGCTCAGTTCTCTACTAGTAGTGTAGACAAAGTAATACGGATCAGAGAAAGGGATCCATTCTTCCAGGTAACAAAACAGGACTGGTAGAGAAGGCTTCATGAGGGAAATCAGATTGCTGGGTAAGAATTCCCAGAGAGGGTGGTAGAATGCACAGCACAGAGAAGCAAGGCACATAGCAAAGTCTCCAACTGGGGGCCACAACTATCAATGGCTATGCTCTTGGACTAACTATGCAAGTTAGTCCAAGAGTGCAGAACTCTGTTGAGGAACTCTGTTCCCTTTCCCTTTTCCTTGAACTTCAAGGAAAAGATCCTTGAACTTCCTTGCAGAAAGATTCATGAAAATTGTATACATGTATTTTGTACAAAATGTTTTAAAATATGTATACATTATGGAATAGCTAAGCCAAGCTGATTAATATATGCATTAACTCACAGAATTATCAACGATTTGTGGTGATATCATTCAAAGTCTACTCTCAGCAGTTTTCAAAATAGGATACATTGTGAGAATAATCAGATATACCTTATAAGGAGGTAGATCTTGTGAAATTTGTAATTGAAAGGAGAATGATTAAATAAAAGGAGAGAAGAACCAAGTATGTCACCACTTTTTGCAGTCAGTGATAGATTGGATGACAGTGCCTTTCTCCCAGATAAAGGACCTATGAAGAGAAGTAGTAGACTTGGGAATGAAGATAATGAATTTGCTGGGGGAACAGACTTACTTGATCTAACTGGGAAATGCAAGTGAAGGTATTCAAGCAATTGGAAATGCATATGTGTTCTGGGAGAAACAAACATAATTCCTTGCATGAAAGCTCAGGTATTGTGTGAATATTAGTAAACTGTTTACACATGATTATTATTTACTGCATCCATTCAATAAATATTGATTCAGAACCTTATGAAGACATGAAAAGTGGATTGATTTTGGTGTATTTGATGAATGACTAGTGGTATATATACATAATGGGGTTTATTTGGTTAGAAAGAAGAACAAAGTTATGTCACTTGCAGGAAAATGGATGAAAATGGAGACCATATGCTAATGAAGTTAACCGACTCAGGAAGTCAAGGTTCATATGTTTTTCTCTTATATGTGGAAGTTAGAAAAAAGAAAGGAAAAGGACCTCATAAAAACAGAAGAGGCCAGTAGACTAGAAGAAGTGGATCTGGGGAGAGAGGAAGGGAGGTAAATGCAGAGTATGAGGGATTGAAATAGACCAAACCCTGAATTGTACATGTGTGAGTCCATTATGATGTAAGATTGCAATGCACCAATGAAATGTTGTATTTGTGAGTGTGCATAAGAAGGTGCAGGTGTCATGGATTTGGTGAAATTTACTTGACCCATTGAAGGATGGTTGAATTTACCTGGCAGGTATATGATAAGGTTTGTTTTTCTGGACCCAAGTGGAAGAGATTTTTGGTAGTCAGAGAAGTTGTGAATAGAGACAGCAAAATAATACACCTTAAAATGTGACTACATGAGGAATGTACTCTTTTTCACTCTTTATTTACAGTAAATTAGCTTTTTCTGATTTTTTTTTGCCTTTCCATTAGAGGCGATTATATCCTTTCAAATGTACTACAGTCACATGCATAAAGTTAATTCAGCTAATACTTGCTATAAGATGTCTTTAAAAGAAAAAAAGAAAATGAGACTCCAGTCAATACATATCAAAGAGGAATTGCAAATGGTTAATTATTTTCTGACACTTGGAAAAGATGTGAAATACAATCCACAGGAAAAGAAAATGTTTCTTGGACAGAATATTAACACTTTAATGCCCAACTTTATACAAGAAATGTGAAAGACAAAAACCATCTATGGTGAAACCAATGAAAGGCTGTATCTCAACACAGATGTCAATATTTAGTTCATCCTTTCCAAAGAAGCACAGAAGCCAATGATGCATATTCAGAAAAATTGCCATACGCCTTAAAATACGAATAAATTTTCACCATAAATGCATATGACCTGAAATGTAAAAATGGATCTGTCTGTAACTGGGAACGTGTTCCCTCTCAGGACTGATAGTGGTGGTTCCCACCTCTGTCTGTGGGGAAACAGTGAGCCCTCAAGTCCACACGGCTGGTGGCCCTGAGTTTAGCTCTTTCCCTCTGCAGTCAGCATTACTGGAATTGTTCACATGTCCACCCTGACGGTGGCCAGATGCTTACTCACTGAGAAAATCTATCCCAACCCTCCCACTAACTGGGGTCCAGTCAGCTGGCCTCAGGCAAGTCATTCCGGCCCAGTTTCTTCATCTCATCTGTTATATAAGTAGGAGGGACGTCATGGAGCCACCCAACATCTGAAAAAATTAAATTAAACGTACCAGTGGATTTTTCCAGAGAGAATCCTGGGTTTTGCCTGCTAGCATTCTTTTTAAATTTAATTTGATTTTTTAATTGACAAAATATTTTTATATTTATTGTGTACAACATGTTTCAAAGTAGGTGTAAGTTATGGAATAGCTAACTTAACATACACATTTCTTCACATGCTTATCAACAATGTTTTGGGGTAAGACCACTTAAAATCTACTCTGTTTACAATAAAAGACAAAGGATTCTGTCTTTTATATTTCTTGTACAAAATTGGGCATTAAAGTGTTAATATTCTGTCTTAGAAACATGTATTGGGATGAGACTGCTTAAAATCTACTCTCTTTAGTAAAATGGTAGTCAGTGTGTGGTATCATATTTCAAAATACAATAGATTGTTCTAGCCCAAGTCACCATGGTGTTGCGGTAGATCTCTTGAACTCCTGGACAACTGACATTTTGTAGCTTGTGGCCAATGTCTCTGAAACCTGAACCCTACATTCCCCCAGTTAAGGGTCTTGATTGCAAACTACAGAAACCAACTTCAATAACTAGGATTTAAAATAAAAAGGATTTTCTTCAGGCTCAGAGTGCAAACTTGCACAATCCGACACTGAGGAAACCCATGGAGGCAAGGGCACTGCTGAGCGCCAGTCCCATAGCTGTCCCTTCTAAATGCTGTCACTGAGTACTGAGCTCCTCCACCCTGCCTGCTCACAGCTGGGCTGTGGTGCTCACTGCTCAACCTCAGAGCTGTGCCTTTCCTTCTGCCTTCAAGATTAGGAGCCTATGATTCTTGACCAAAAGTGCCTGTCTAGTGTGTCCCCATTCTGGCCACCAAGGGATAGGAAGAGGGAATGTCATCCGGGGGAGGGGACCCTGCCTCCTGCTGAAGAGGACACCACCTTCTCCCAGGAGGAGATGAGCTGGGGCCACCAGAACAACCCTCTCCCTTGCCTTCTCCTTCTTCAGATTCTCCCAGGGACGCCGACCCCCCACTTCTGCCAGGGAAGAGTCTGAATCGCTGCATTAGATTATCTGTAATTACAGCTATGAAATTATGCGATTCTAAATACCAATTTTTATTTCCTCCATCATCTTCCAACTCTGAATTTCCTGAACAAGATACAAATGCAGCAATAGAATGACTAAGAGCTTTGCAGGGTCAGCCCTGAACATCTTTGGCTCATTTCAGTGGGTGTGTAATTATGATGGTTGGGCTAATGACAGAGAGTAACAGATGTCTCGGAGCACTGTCACCCAACTGAATTTCTGGCAAACCAAGAAGATTCCCCAGAAGAATTTTTCTTTCTCATGTAGCCTCTGATGCTGTGCTGAGAGTATATTCAGATGCAATATGGCTTAATAGCTAGGTGCATAATCCTGAAGGTTAATGAGAACGGATGTAAGTTTTGATTCTGTCCCTTATTTTCTGGTTCTCCAGGAACAGTGGCTGTGCCTCAGGATGTCTCAATTTCCTGTTTAGTAAAATGGTAGTCGGTGGGTGGTATCATAAAAACAAAATGACATAGTGCAAGGAGTTATAGGGATACACAGTGACAGCTCAAGAAATAATGATGAAAATCATCATGTTACTAGTTAAGGGATGGTCTAGCTATGAGCCCAACTCATTCCAAAAAAAAAAATGTTTGTACTTTTAAATCTTAAGTTTAACATAATAAAGATCTCTGGGAATATTTCAGATTGAAGTAATTCCATGAACTATGGAATCAACCATTTGCACAGATCACTCAAATACCACATTGAAAGGTAACAGTGACCATTTTTTTACCCCCATTAAAAAGATATTTAAAAAGAATACATTATATTAAATTATGCCCAAGTATATAAATTGCTTCAGTTATTTTAAATGGTACCATTAAACTGAATTTAATATGAAATAGCCAGAAAGTTTGATAATGGGATTATTCTTCAAAGATGTGTTCAACAAAAGTAGTGTAGACATTGTGAAGGACTTCTGAGCTGGCCTTTGTCACAGCTACTCCCCACATCCTGGGCATTTGTGCTTGTTTTCATGAATCCTTTGATTCTGTGATTCTCCTAACCAGGGTGCCCTTTCTTTACAATTTTCAGGCAAATGTGAATGTGGCAAATGCACGTGCTACCCACCAGGAGATCTCAGGGTGTATGGCAAGACCTGCGAGTGTGACGATCGCCGCTGTGAGGACCTGGACGGTGTGGTCTGTGGAGGTTGGTGATGGGCCCCGCAGCCTCTTGCTGTCTGCGTGCCACTTGTTGTCCCTGCCTTTCTATCTTCCTTGCCACTATTTTAAAGTGCTGTTAAAAAGAGGAAAAACAAAAAGCATTATCACATTAGACCTAAAGGCAACACACAGTTAGGTTCACTGTGACCTTTATGTCCTTGAACTCTTGATGTAGGGGCATTGGAAAATGCATAGTAATGGATCATTAAGTCTGAGCTATGTACAAAGTACAGTGATATTTGTTATCACAGTTAAAATATTTTGCCGGAAGTTAACATTTTATCATGGTTTTTATGACTTCACTCATAAACACTGATGGAGGAAGTTTCATCCTACAAACTCAGAAAAAACACGCCAAGTTTATGCTCTACAAAATCACTGGTGATAGATGCACCATTTCCATGATAGCTCTTGGACCCAAACTTGAGATTACAGAAAGTAATAAACTGTCCCCCAAAAAAAGAATGAGGCAGGTGGACAGCAGTCAGCAAAGTAGCAGCAAAAATGAGAGTCTCAGAAAGACACACCCACCTGAGCCTCATCCAGGAAGGAATGGGGGTCACAGTCTCGTATCTCAGTCTTCAGATGCTTCAAATTGTAGAGATTGATGGGTGCAAGCTATTTCTTCTCAGGGTTTTCAGTATGATTGAACTGGATGTGTAACCACACTAAAAAAATGTAATTGCATCTCTCCAAGATAATTATTATAAGTACATCGGCAGTATATTATTGGGAAAACCCCAAAGGTATATCCTATGTTCAGAAGAAAGACTGGGGGATCATCTTTCTCTCACAGCCATCTGACACCTCTGTCATCTCTCTCTTTTCTCCTTTCCCAACTATGAAACACTGGACAATTTGATGGGAAATATTTTCTTCTTTTCTTTCCCTGTGAGATGGGACATGAGGAAAAGCCCTTTTAAATATCTGTGGTGCTGGAGGTTTGTCTTACGCTGTGCATCCATCCTAAGAGATTACTTCTACTCTCTTCATTTCACATATGGGAATTTGAGTGAGGCTGGAGAAGCTCATGTCCCCTAACTAAAGAGTGGCAGACCCAGGACATGAGCTCTGCTGTGTAGATCAGATCAGTCCCTGTGCCTCAGTGACACCAGACTGTCCACATTATATCAACATTATTTTTAGGTTAGTTCCTCCCTTCACTAGTATTGGTTATCAGAATTGTCTATGCATATTGTAGTTATTTTTTGTTCATAAAGCACAGAATATATATTAATTCATTTAATTTTCACAACATTATATATAAAGACAGTGGGACACCTGGAAAGTTCCATATGCTTGTCTGGTTCTCTTGTTCTTGTTGTCCTTCTTTCTGTTGTGCAGTGTTAGTCCACATGGGCCTCTTGGCCCAACATTTTGTGACTTGGTAGAAATGGTTAATTCTGTTAAAACCAGTTAAATCTCTATACCCATCAAATCGTGTTTCCCTACATAAAACTCTATTTATGTCCAACTTTGGGGAATAAATAAAGTAAAAACAAATCAGCCTTCCTATTAGATGAGATCAGATGTTGATTGGGTGAGACAGCAGCTCACAAAGTGTTCTTATTTTACCGATTTTCTGCTGTTATGGTTTGAATCTGGAATGTTCCCCCCAAATCCCATGTGTTAGGCAATTCCGTGATGTTCAGAGTTGAACTGATTGGATTATCAGGACTTAAACTTCCTCAGTGGATTTGAAGGATTAATAGTTTGATTGGACTTATAGGCAGATGGGGTATGGCCTGAGGAAGCAGGTTCCCACTTCCTGTCTGGCCACTTCCTGTCTGTTTCTCTCTGTATCTGTGCTTCCTGGCGGCCATGAGTGAGCAGTGCTTCTCCACCACACCCTTCCACTATCATGCTGTGCCTCTCCTCAGGCCCAGAGCAATGGAGTTGGCTGTCTAAGGATTAAAACCTCTGAAGCCATGAGCCAAAATGAATCTTTCCTCCTAAGTTACTTTTGTCAGGTATTTTGGTCACAGCAGCATAAAGCTGTCTAAAGTGTTGGTGCTGCACATCCAATGTGTCCACAGTGTCCATCTTTGCAGAGTTCCTTGTGAACCTCAGGGATGGACCTTCATGAACCAAACTTGTGAAGTACAGTACATAAAGCAGAACACCAGTCACTTGATTTGCAGTGAGAAGTGGAGATTGGAACTCTGTAGGGAAACCCTATAGAAACTCAGATGCTGAGACAAGAATTTGGCTGTGCTTTATGGAAAAGGTGCTGGGAAATGCTGGTGAGAGAGCTGTGGCAGGAAGGAGGAAGCAGTCTATGAAAGTCACGTGGTCAGTGCAGTCACATGGTCACCTGGGGCTTCAACTCAGCACAGGGTTGAAGCTCTGGGATCCTGTGTGAGACACAATCCTCAAGTATCTATCAGTGGTTCCCTAATGACCATTTCTAGCAGGTGTTTATTCCCCTGCCACATCAGCATGCCTGACAGGTGTGTTCTTAGAGCATGGTCCTGTGTCTGGCAAAGGCTTTGTGGCACCTAGTAGGAGTCACTGAACAACAAGGATGAAGGGATGCGGGTGTGTCTGACTGCCACTGCCACAATATCCTTTCCAAAGGAACACAGTCATGTGTCGGAGGGCCTGGGAGTGTTCTCTGGGTCCTGCAGCACACACACTCACAAGTTCTTATTCTTTGAACACCACCTAGATTTTGACAGCTGTCCCGTCCACTCTTACCCAGGAGTTAACAATAGGTTAGACAATATCCATAGACAAGCTATCAACCCGATCCTTGTAAAACCTTGATTAAAATTTAGTAGATACTTATTCAAACACACAGAGACTATTTCCTTGGGGGTTGATGCTTCGGTGGTGCCATGGAACATAACTGTCAGAGGATGAACTTATTTGCAAGTCCAGGTAGGTCTTTGCTCAGCTCCTAGGTAGCAGAAGAGAGTGATCCTCCTGCAGCCGGTCAATATAACCAGATATGCAGACCATCTTGGATCACTACCATCAGGTTACTTCTTAGTCTACTACTTAAACTAACTCTAAGAACCACATATTTATTTATTTTGTACTTTAGATTTTAACAAAAGCATTTTATCAACCCAAAGATCTTTGGATACTTAATTCTTTCCAAATTCGTAAAGGAAACAAGTACTGGATATTTCCCTTGAAAATATTTCACATTATTATTATTATTAAAATTTACTTTGATTCTCTAATGATGCCTTCTGAAAAATTTGGGGTTAGGATGACACCAATATTTAAAAAGATTGTTTATATGTAACAACGTGTGCTTCACTTACCTTGTCATGGCTCACAGGAGTCCCTTAAGTAACTGACTCAGGTGAGAGCCCAGAACCTTGCACTCTGCCATAGACTTGACACAAGGCCTGTGCACACACTTTTGCACACTCCTCCGAGTCCTGTTGCTTGGACAGGGATAGTTCCTGGAGAGAGAGATGCTTCACAACAGCCTGGTCAAGTTCATCATGAGAAATACAGAGGTAGGAATGGCACGTAGAACTCAGCATCCCATTCAGGTGCTCTGCGGAGCACTCCTCCACAACAAAAGCCCAAGATACAGTCAGTTCTTGCTCTTTTTGGCAGTTACATTCTAAAAGGTCACCCTGAACACTGGGATAACAAACACGGCATCAGTTCCTGCCTGTGGTCACAATGTTTGCATCAACTGATCAATAATGAAGTGTTTTACTTCTGTTTCTGGGTAAAGACACCTTATCTAATACATAATTGATTCATTAGCATTGAACTCAAGGCCAGCATCTCTATAAACTCAGGCCTGAAAAAGGCTGATCTAGCACATGTATTTTCTCTGCAAGGCATGTCACAGCCTTCTTGAACTTAGAAACCCTGGGCAGCACTTCAACACTATGCCTGGGGCCACCTGACACCATCAAAAAGCATGAGAATGTGAAAAACATAAACCATGAGAAAGACACATATTTAGGACAGAGCTGGAAAAGGATGGTGGAGCGTGACCCTCTTTGATTTTAACTGGGAATGTGAGGCACAGGCAAGTCAGGTATTTCACCACGCTACTGAGTTCTCAAATGCCTGGGATGGCTCTGCGAGTATGGTTTTAGTGTTGCAAATAAGTGTTAGTGAATGAGTGAAGTTGCAAATATAAAATCTGGGATTAGAGAAAATCAACTGTAATTCACATTAAACTGCACTGGAAAGGATACCAGTGCCTCTCACTTTAGCTTTGCACTTACCTTCAAGTTGTGGTTTCTTTAAGGCAGCTGGTAAAGATAATGTGGTTTTAATTCCTCTATTTTCTGCTCATTGCTTTATGGAAAGGACTATAGGGGCCTTGGCTATTATGGTATTGAATTCCTTCTAGGCCGTGGCTATCTTTGCAAAGAAAATAAAAAGGGACATTACATTATTGAGCATGTTTCAATCCATAGCAATATTAGCAGTGAAGTATACAACATAGCAAACCAAATGGTAAGGAGGTCACAAATTCCCATGCTTGTCTTAAGCATTTACTTAGCATATTGACAGTGCATCAGGCTAAAGCCAGGTTTTCTTGGGTACATCCCTGCTCTTCCTGAGGCCCCTTACTATATATAGGGCCTCAAGAAATTGATATAACCTCTATTTTTCATCTATAAAATGATAATAACATATCTTGTAGGATTGTTGTGAGATTAAAGAAATTGATGCATATTAAAATATTAGGACAGTACCTGGCACATAAGTGTGCCATACACATATAGATTACCCTTATGTATATTAAATACATATATTAGATCACCCTTATTAAATACATATACAGAAAGTGCAATGTACAATATATCTATGATGGTCTGGTCTTCAGTTTTGGATGGCATGGATGATTATACCTTTCTATTCTTTTTGTATGAAATAGACTTTCTTCTTATGTGCAAAACCTAAGCTGCCAAACCAAAACAGCAGAATACCATCCATCTCCATAGTGTTTAAGCAGCTCTTGCTAAATAGTGCACCTTCTATGGGGAAGGGAAGCTTTCT